CACATCCCAGTGATCTATTAAAAAAAAAAGATTGCAGCCCAAATTCCAAATACCAGAGACTGGAATTTCCAGTTTTGCTAAGGGAATGGCTTCTTTTTAGAAACTTTATTGTGTTTTGTATGGGGCATTCGCTGTATCAGTTTATTGTGGTTATAAAACAACTAGCAAAACAGCTTACATACATATTTATTTTCTATTCCAACCTTCTCTGGCTCATGTTTTTACTCTCAAAATCCATTCCTTAAAAAAATAAATCTGTTGCAGATGTGAGAAAAAGAATAAATAACTTTGTTTGCTCACAACTGAGTCAAGAATTTCAATAATAAATGCTACATATGATTTTGAGGGCTAGAACATGTTTATGCTAATCACTGAATATCAGTACTTGATATGCATCTGGCATTTGGTAGCTAATAAATATATGGGGAATGAATAAATGAATAAATATTAGCCTTAATGAGTTCTGATGTAAAAAATTGATATTTAGAAGTTTTATTTTTACAAAACCTACATTTATATGCCAAAGCACTGTAGATCAAGTGTGTCATAGCCACAGTGAACTATTTCTTTTTTCTCAGGAGGAAATGTAACTGCAGTGAGTTCATCCTTGTAGTTCTGATGAATTATGGTTCAGTGATTAGAGAAGAAAAAAACAAGGCAAGAACTGAATGAAAAATAACAGTCAGATGCTCCGGTATAATCCCTGCTATGTGTGTGTTTGTTGGTTTGTTTAAACATTAAAAAGTGGCTTCAGTCATAGTTTCCATTGTGTCTTTTATTTTCCCTTTAAGACAGCCCAGATGTTAGAAGCAATGCCATGTTTTAATGATGATGATGTCAGAAACCACCAGCATGGAGACATTTGAGTCATGAACCAGAGGCTTGAGTCTGAACTTCTTAGGAATTATTTCAAGGCTTTTTAAAAAGTGTATTTCTAAATGGACCATCTATTATAAATTAAAAAGAATACTTCAAAGTCTTATAATTACTAAATTCATGCATTCAACTAAAACTTTTTATCTTATAACAAACACATCTATCATCCTATTCTTAAACCCACTGCAAACAGTGCCAATCTGAAATACCTATGAATTTGTGTTAATTCTGAATTCACTCAATTTGGGAACATTACCATTTCATCCTAAGTTGGTCTTGAGTGCACAGAATTACAGTAAGATGTAAGAGACCTGGGCTATGAGTTAAGAAAACTGTCACTGTGTTCCTGTCCTGTCAGCCTGACTTCAGATAGGACTAGACCTGAGCGCTGCCATCACTTGTTCTTTTACATGTATTCATAAAAGATGATTACACATTACTTTAAACATATTACAAAATCAATATTTGTATGATACTGGATACACCAAAACTGTTTTGATCTTAGGTTATCAATCTCTGAGTAAGCATTAAGAATATACTAACAATCATATTAAATCAATCTTGGCTATCGATTTTCTACCAGAATGGATCTAGTTCATTTCCAGGTGATGCTGATTAGGTGTCAAGTAACCTTCAGTTACTTGACTGAATATATTTTTTGTTAAGAAACTGATATGGTTTAGATATTTGTCCCTTCCAAATCTCATGTTCAAATCAGATGGTTGCACATCTGATCTTTGGCAAACCTGACAAAAACAAGCAATGGAAAAAGGATTCCCTAGTTAATAAATGGTGTTGGGAAAACTGGCTAGCCATATGCAGAAAGCTGAAACTGAATCCTTTCTTATACTTTACACAAAAATTAACTCCAGATGGATTAAAGATTTAAACATGAGACTTAACACCATAAAAACCCTAGCAGAAAACCTAGGCAATACCATTCAGGACATAGGCATAGGCAAGGACTTCGTGACTAAAACACCAAAAGCCAAAATAGACGAATGGGATCTAATTAAACTAAGGAGCTTCTGTAGAGCGAAAGAAGCTATCATTAGAGTGAATGATCCCCCATGATGTAAGTGGGGCCTGGTAGGAGATGATTGGATCATGGGGATGGGTCTCCCACGAATGAGTTAGTACCATCTCCTTGGTGTGAGTTCTTGCTCAGTTCATGCAAGATTTGATTGTTTAAGTGTCTGGGACTCTCCTTGATGTCTTGCACCTGCTCTCTCCATTTGATGCTCCTGCTCCTGTTTCACCTTACGTCATGACTGTAGGCTTCCTAAGGCCCTTGCCAGAAGCTGAGCAGATGTTGGTGCCAAGCTAGTAGAACCTGCAGAGCCATGAACCAATTAAGCCAATTAAGCCTTTTTTCTTTATAAAATACTCAGTCTCAGGTATTTCTTTATAGTAACACAGAAATGGACTAACACAGAAACAAATGCACTTTAATTGATAGTGTACACAGACATGAGGCAACAGGGGTGTGACTGAGACCAGGCCCCACGCTTGTCTTGGCCAAGGTAAGTGGTCTTCTTACAGGTTTCAGGTGTTGGGGGTAGGTGGCAGAAGTGGGGAGAAGCAGATTCAGAGTTTCTTCTTTGACTACAAGAGGCTTGTAGACAACAGATCCAGGCAGGGGCCAGGGCTAGGGTATAGGTGTGCAGAGCTGGGGTGGTTCATGTGTATATCTGCATGGACAGGTATTTTCAAAATACCAACTGCTACCAGGGTCAGTCCTTTTGGGGTAATTTGGATTAAGTATGGACATTGTGTAGATGTGTTCAATTCATAGAAATCTTTGAAAACCAAGTAGTTAAATACATAAACAGATAAGCAGAGGATTTTAACCTTCAGACCTCACCCTAGTAGATACAAGTACAGCGGTTACCTTTTTAGTTTCTGTCTTTCCCCTCCATATTTAAGTCTAATCAGATGGTGTCTAGCTGGGGACTGTGGCCTTCATCTTCAAGAAGCCCAGCTCCTCTACTCTCTCTCTTCCTTGGCTCTCCTGAGAGTGTGTGCACATGCCCACAATCACACTCTCCATGTCCGCCATCTCCAAACACACATGCAGACACAGATAACTTAGAAGACCTCAAGAAATCAAAATGAATCAAGTTATTGCCCACCAAAATCAGGGGCAAGTAGGATCCACTGTAATTTCTTGACATGGGAGTAATGTTATTATTTTTTAAAAGGTGTTTTTAGCAAATCCATATGTCAGTGAAAGCTGTGTTAAACTTTCCAGATTAATTTATCAACCAGACAGAGTTTATTGATCTTCTGCTATCTAGTGGGGAGAAAATGGAAACAGAGATTTACTAGGATTCTGCTGCAGGGAACCTGTCATGACTGAATAAGAGTTTTATCTAATTGATGTGATATAGAGATTGATGGGAGCTAAAGGACAAGAAGAGGCAGAGATGCTTCTTAAGTTTGCAGGGTAAAAAGAAAAGGCAGCGACTTGGGGGTAGAGGATGAAAGGAGCACTAACTTTGTCTTTGGGCATTTTGGTTTATGACAATACTTGTCTTTCCAAGTGAGGATGTTGTGTGGGTAACTGAAGATGAGGGGGAGGCAGAAAAATGATTTGAAATACAGAGCTGTGGAATATTGTATATCAATTTCAGCATCTTATTCATCTCAGGGTCTCAATGCCTTTTTTGAGTCTTACTTTTCTTCCATCAGCAATTAGAAAGTCTTTGAAATTTTCTTCATGCTGTTGCTAATTATCCCTTGATTGGACTATTGCAATACCTTAGAATTTGTCTCTTCACTTTCATCTTTTTCTTGCTCCACTACATCATAAATGACTTTGCAAGCCTTGTTTTTCCCAGCACAATTCTGCATAAATAATGCTTTTGGCTCCCCATTGCCTACAAAATCTAAACCAGATTTTTCTTAGCTTGACTTTTCAGCTTCAATCCACTATTTGAAAACTAATTGCTCATTATTTTCTTCATAAATGTAGCAAACTGATCTACTTGCTGATCATCACTCATACTTGATGCTTTCCCATCTCTGTGTGATGCTTCTGTGGATCCTCGATGCCTTTCCTTAGTCAGAATGCCCGAATCCTAAAAGCTTCAGCCAAGTGTTGGCTCTACCATAATTGCCCTAACTGAGCAGATCCCTTTCCTCAATTCCCTTTTCATTTCACCTGTATGTTGTATGCCACAAACCCATTTTATCTTACAGTTACTTGACCATACTTCTTCTGTCCCTAAAAAGAAAAAAGAAAACTTTAAATTGTTTGAAGATGAGAACTCTTTCCGATAAAACTTTGAATGTTTTTGGTACTCACTATTATGTTTGGCACATAGCAGCACTCAATAGTTATTAAAATAAACGTGCTTTCTCCTAATCATGTTAAATTTGCAATTTTCAGTTAAGGTTCTTTGCTTACAAGCAAGAAAAAATAACTCCTTTTAACTGAAGTCAAAAAGAAAGAGTTTCTTAGAATACCATGATGCAATTCACAATAGCGACGGAAAAGTTGAACTACCTCTCAAAAAGCAGGATGTTCCAGGGATTTGGGGAGCAGGAACTAAGGAAAATCTCAGGATGTTTCCATTGTCATGAACCAGCTCCAACAGTTTCCCCATCTCAACCTCATTCTGGTCAGGATTCAAATTCTCCAAAGAACTCTGATTGGCTTTAACTAGGCTACCTGCAAGGAGTGAGTAGGCCTCCTTGGCTAACAGTCCCAGTGAAGCTACATGTAGTGAAGATTGGATTATTTCTCAAAGCAAGGTCAGAAAAGAGAGATGCCTGGCAGTTAAGAAAAATGGATTCTAACACACTCATCTGTATTCATTTACGCATTGATTTATTTAACCAATGAAAACGTATCGGGTGCCTGTCCTACCAGTCAATGTGCTAATTGCTGGAGATATAAATATAAGTAAGTCGTGGACCATATCTTCAAAAAAGTTTACAGTGTGGTATGTTTCTGTTGCTTTCCCTGATTCATTTTATAATTTTATTAAAATGAATGGTTTAACAAAAAGTGAAGTCTCTGGGGAACTTTTCACTGTATCATACTTCCCTCATGTAGTATGACTTCACAATGCTATATGGACCATCCTTCCCACATTCTAGACTCTGAGTTCCATGCCTTCCTCATTGCAGGAGACAAAAATCAGAGAGGTCTACAGGGCAGCTTTTCTGGAGTCTTGGAGGCCTCAGTGAGGAATACAGATTTCATTGAAAGTGTGATTGGGAGCAATTGAGCACACAGGAAACTCAGAAAAGATCACTCTGGCTACTATCTAGAGATGAAGTTATAAGAAGACCAGAGAGACAACAGTGGGAGCAGGACTCTGTGAGTGGCAGCAGGACTCTGTGAGCAGGATGTCACAGTGGTCTAATGGTACTTTAGACAAGGGTGTTAGCAGAGGATAGGTAAAAAGCAAACAGGTTTAGAAAAACACTTCGATTGTGAAACCAATGAGACTCACGCATAGAGTGGATTCAGGGATAAAGGAGGAATTGAGGACAACCTCTAGGTTTATGGAGGTGCCATTTTCTAAGATCCTTATTTTCTGTTCAGTTTACTTCCTCTATGTCAATTTTTCTATCTCATTTTGATTACTAATCCATGAACCCTTTTAATATTTTCCTAATCAGTTCTATCCTACATTCATTTTCTTCCCTAAAAAACTTGGATCAATGATGCATTATTTCTATTGTTCTTATTAACATCTCACTTTTCACCTCAATGCCCTCCCCTTCTACTGTCTGGTAATACATTCACCAAACTGCTCACCTTTTATAAACCTTTGACTGGACTATTGAAACATGACACAGAAATGCTTATTCAGGGTACATAAACTCAGCTTCCAATCTCAACTGCTAACATTGGCAATGTTGTCAGTTTCCTATCAACTCTTGCTTCTCCTCTCTATATTGACTACTCTGAAACCTCGGACTCCTTGTTCTTACAGTTTCTCATTCTTAACATGTGATCTCGCCACTTCACAGAGAAAACAGAAATTTGAAAAAGGATCTCCTTTGCCTTCCTGCTACCAAGTCTGCAAACCTTTCCTCCTGTTCAGTGAAAAGGGGTGAACCCTCTCTTGCAACTCTTCTTGCCACCTGAGCTCTGGTTCCACTTGTGCCATGACCTAACTTCATTGATAACTCAACTTCCTTTACTTTAGTCAACTTGCTTCTTTCTCCTTGCTTCTTTTAATAAGAACTTGGATCTCCACAAACCTCTTTCTTAAAAACAGAATTGGAAATACAAACAAAAAAAAACAACTAAACCTTACTCATTCCAACTCTCCACTCCTTCCAGCCCCTTTGCCAAATCTCTCATCTGCTTTCTAACTAAACATAATGAAAGAATGGTCTACATTACCTCCCTCGATATTGTAATTTGCCGCTTGTTCCTCAACCAGCACTCTGGCTTCCCTACACACTGCTCTAAAGAAAATGCTGTTGTAAAGGTTGCAAAACAAAACACATACAGGTGGTGATGGCGACATTTAGCGGGCATGCTTCCTTTCTCATTTGGCTTATCCTTTCCTCAGCATTGGACACTGGGCAATGTCATTTTTTTCTTGACCACCATAGTTTGTTTCTTGGTGCTTCTCTTACCTCTCTGGCTTGTTTTTCCTTCCTCCCTTTCCTCCGTCCTGCCTTTCTTCCTCCCTTTTCTTTTTCCTTCCTTCCTCCCTTCCTTGCTTCCTTCCTTCCCCTTCCTTCCTCCCCTTCCTCCCTTCCTTCTTTTCCTCCTTTCCCTCCTTCCTTCCCTTCTTTCCTTCCTTCCTTTCCTCCTTTCCCTCCTTCCTTCCCTGCTTCCCTCCTTCCTTCCTTCTTTCTTTTCCTTCCTTCCTTTTTTCTTTCTTCTTCTCTGTTTCTGTCTTTCTTTTTTGAGTTTCATGTTTTTTTCCAGCTAGTTTCTTAAGTGTTACTCTCCTCTTGAGTTTCTTTTCTAGACTTTTTTTTCACCTTTGGGTAATATATTAACTTGGTCTCTCATCTGGACCCATGAAGTTTCTCTAGAAATGAATCTTCTGATGATCTGCTGCTCCTACTGCTGCTGCTGCTGCTGCTGGTGTGTGTGTGTGTGTGTGTGTGTGTGTGTGTGTGTGTGTTGATAAGCTTAGCTGCCTATTTCCTTTGAACCAGCAATAAAGGAGGTTGGGATTGGACACTGATGGTTCTACTTGCAGCTATTTAATTTGTCTCCTTGTTTTCTGTCTGGTTCCTCACCCTTGCCCTCTCACGGGCCTGGTGTGCCCTAATCTACATCCTCTCTTGTTCAATTTGTCTTGAGAATAAATCTCCTGCTTCCTTCAGGAGGAGGGAAAGGGAATTTGCTTGACTGCTTCAGTTAAAGTGAGGTTTCTAATAACCTTTAAAAAGAAAGTGTCTGAGCAGTATCTTTAAAATGACATCAGCTCTATACTTGAAGTCATTCATTAGGATGAGAAATTAAATTTTAAAAATTTAGAAAAACAAAAAAATTATCTCATGAACTAATTAGTGACTATGTAAAAGAGAAGCTTTGGAGTCTTTAATTGTTTTTGTCTGGGAATAGTTGCCAAAGATGTTACCGTAATATTATGGAGCTACTTTAGCTTCATAGTATACAAAGTTCACTGGCTATATTAGATATTAAATTATTTGGTTTACCTACTAGCCTTAGCAAAATTTCCCCTACAAATAGTCATGAATTCAAACTCTGGCTCCAAAGACTGTATTTTTTGCTGCATTTATGTGTGTTAACTGAATAATTTTTTTGAGGTTTTATTTCCCATTTCTTACATTTTACCTAACAGCTGCTCTCTCCACTACCCTCCCCCACATCCCCTTTTCTGTATTCTCTGATGAGTTGACCCTCTCTCCATTACCTACAGAAAAGTAAATTATAGTCCAATCAAAATTGTACTTTTCAGAAGATTGCTCAGCTGAGGACCATTAGTAACACCACACTGTGAGACTTTAAATAGTTCTCTTTTCCTAAGAGCAGGCATATGTGCTTCAGAGTAGTGGTGTCCTTGTAAATGTCACCTATTTGTTTCTCACCTTTAATTCATGGGATATCCCAAAGGCCACTAATGAAAGATATTACCCTTAATTAAAACACAACTGTACATTTAGAAATGGAAAGAAAAGTGGAGCTATGCTCAATGAATATGCAGCTACAGTGAAGTATTCTCATTTTGAAACATAATGCTGAATGTTATACATAAGAGGACAGATTTTTAAATTGTGTGGATTTTTTTTTCTTCTAAAAATGAGGTCTCAATAAAGGTGAAATGCCTCTGCTGTCATTTCTCCTGAATTTGCTTTTCTCCTTATCTATTAATATTTAAATTTGTGTGAGAGCTGGCCATTATGTTTCAATGTTAGATGGAAACACTAGTCATTTGGGCAGTGGTGCTTGTATCAATTCAACTCCTCCACTGCCTGCTCTGCTCCAGGCATATTGCTAAGTGCCAGGGGATAGTGAACCGTGATCAAGTAAACTAAGATGAGCATGCTCACCACAGATTGCATTCCGGGAAGTACTATTAACAAACAGTGTGTCAAGATGGGGTCACTTTGAATTGGAAGGCTAGGGTGATCTTTTCTGAGAAGCTGATACTTGAGCGGAAACTTGAAGGATGATGATATGGTTTGGCTGTGTCCACACCCAAATCTCACCTTCAATTGTGATGATTCCCACATGTCAAGGACTGGGCGAGGTGAAGATAACTGAATCATGGGGGCAGTTTCCCCCATACTGTTCTTGTGGTAGTAAATCAGTCTATAAGAGCTGATAGTTTTATAAATGGGAGTTCTGCATATGCTTTCTTGCCTACCACCATGTAAGACATACCTTTGCTTCTCCTTTGCCTTCTGCCATGATTGTGAAGCTCCCAAGTCATATGGAAGCATGAGTTCACTAAACCTCTTTCTTTCATAAATTCTCCAGTCTCAGTTATGTTTTTATTAGCAGTGTGAGAACAGACTAATACAGATGATAAAAACTCAGGCAAGCAAAGAACTGAGGAAAGAAGATTCCAGGCAGAGAAAACCACAAAGTCACCCACCATGAAGAGGGCAGGGGCTTAGAAGAGTCAATAAGAAAAATGAAGGCCAGTAGGGAGGAAGTATCACAATCCAGGGAGGAAAAGAGAGAACGCTGGAGCAAAATAGGAGCCAGCTCTGCAGGAACCCACTGGCCTTGGAAGGGGATTTCGTAATTTATTTTAGGAGCAATAGACATTGGTGTATTTGTAAAATGCATTTAACCTAATTAAAGGATTAGAGAAAAGTGATTATAAACAAATAAAGTTGTCATCTTGGAGAAAAAGAGGTTTAAAATGTAGTATTCATATAAAATGGAATATTACTTGACCAATAAAAGAAACAACATATTGCTACACGTGACAATGTAGAGAAAATCCAAAAGCACAGCTGGGCGCGGTGGCTCAAGCCTGTAATCCCAGCACTTTGGGAGGCCGAGGCGGGTGGATCACGAGGTCAAGAGATCGAGACTATCCTGGTCAACATGGTGAAACCCCGTCTCTACTAAAAATACAAAAAATTAGCTGGGCATGGTGGCACATGCCTGTAATCCCAGCTGCTCAGGAGGCTGAGGCAGGAGAATTGCCTGAACCCAGGAGGCAGAGGTTGCGGTGAGCAGAGATCGCACCATTGCACTCCAGCCTGGGTAACAAGAGCGAAACACCGTCTCAAAAAAAAAAAAAGAAAAAAAGAAAGAAAATCCAAAAGCATTATGTTGAGCAAAGGAAATCATACAAAACATTATATAAAACTTAAGAAAAGGCAAAACTAATTTATAATGTTTGAAATGAGAGTTATAGTTACCTTGGGGTAGAGGAAAGTAGCAGTTAGAATTGGCTGGAAAGGGCCCTTGGGTAATGGAACTTAAGTCTTCACTGGGGTGATGATTATTTAGGTATATGTGAAGCAGGAGAGTTCCCTGATTCCCCTTGCAGGACATGTGACAGGGGTGTGGCTTGGCTGTGCACTCAAAGCTCTTACAGGAAGGAGAGCACATAGACAGGCAGGTGCAGGAGCCAAGGTGAGTGCCCCTGGGCTCTGGCCCCATGGCCTGACACCCATCCAGGGGTGGGTGTCTGCGACTCCTGAAGCCCAAGTGGATGCGTGTAGCAGTGTATTCTTTTAGCTTTGCCATCCACATACAGCCTAAGTATTAAACAGCTCAGAAGATCCTCTGCTTTTTCCAAGGGCACAGAGCCAGTGTGACAGCTTTCTATATCCCATGCTCTTGTCCAGCGTTCAGGAAAAATTAGGCCACACACGGAAGATGATCTTTCTCTGGAGTTTGGCCATCCAGCAGCTGATCTCCTTTCCAACTCCCTCCAAGCTCAACTCTGCTCATTGTTCAGCCACTCCTTCTCTTCTCTCTGCCATGCCGTTCTGCTGTTCTTCTGATCTTCTGTTCATCTCCTTATGGAGCTGGGGGCTTGGAATTAATATGGGTACAGTATAGGAGGGGTGTGGCAGGCCAAAATGCAACTTTTAGGCACAGAAACAGAAATGCCTTTTCTCATTTAGGGCCACAGGTTTCTAGTCTTGAGGGTGAGTCCTTTGCCAGGGAACTGCTCTCTTCTACCCAGTATTTCCCTATCTCCTATTGTATCATATACATTTGTCAAAGGTCACTAAATTGCACATTTAAAATGTGTACATTTTATTGTATATAAATTACAGCTCAATTTATTATTGCATAAATGTACATACAGATGCTGCACATACACATATATAAGCACTTATCTTTGGAAACAGACTTCATATCAAATTCTTTAGATTAAAGGAAAAGGCAGGGAAGAATTACTAATATTTTATAAATTTGTGTTATAGATTTGATTTGATGGATTATAGTTGTCTGGGTCTATATTTATTTTAATTTTTTTTTTCAAGACCAGGTCTCACTCTTGCCCAGGCTGGAGTGTAGTGGCACGATCCCAGCTCACTACAACATTTGTTTTCTCGGTGCAAGCGATTCTTGTGCCTCAGTCTCCTGAGTAAATAGGACTATAGGCATATGTCACCACACCCAGCTAATTTTTATATTTTTAGTAGACATGGAATCTCACTATGTTGCCCAGGCTGGTCTCAAACTCCTGAGCTCAAGTGATCCACCTGCCTCAGCCTCCTAAAGTAATGGGATTACAGGCATGAACCTCCAGGCCCAGCTTTTGTTTTAATTTTTTATGAGCATAATACTCTTACAGTAACAGATAAATTAAAAATACGATTTGAATTTTAAAAGGCACTGATTGCGAATACTTTAAAACAGAGGTGCTCTGCACTAACATTGACCTTCTGCCTCCTAACTCTGAAGGAGATGTTCTTTTCTGGGGGCCTGTAACTCGGCACTATTTCCTCTGGGACTGGGAAGCTGTGAATGATAGAGCAGCTACTGGACTTGCTCTACATTATTTGTTCAGAAATAGAGCACACTGGAGAGAAAGAAAACAACAAGGAGAGTGGTAGGTAAGAAAACCAGTTCTAAGTTTCAGCAGAAATGTATAAAGGGTCAAGAACAGAAAGGGAAACATTCTGCAAGATCTCTGTTTATAGTTTTCTGCCTTTGTCTGCAACAACCTGCCCTGTATACATTTGGAAAATTGCATATTAGACATATCTGCAAAGTCAGCAGTAAACTATTGTCTCTGAAGGAGCATCCAAACCAAAAAAAAAAAAAAAAAAGTGGATACAACTTTGAGGCCTGTTGTAAGAAAGCATTATTAACTATTTTAATGAACTTACTTCCAAAGGAATTTTAATGATTGCCTTGTTCTAAGCCTTCCTCTTGCCACCAGCTTTTAACTCACGGTTCCCTTGGGTTTTTCTTTTAAAATCCTTTCATTTAATACAAAATATCTGCAGTTCCACAACCCAACTGCTAGTTCATGCTAACGAGCCTTCATTTACCTATACTGGTGTTTTGACCTTCTGACATATAAATCTCAGGAGTTTCTAAACTCAAGCAATTAGTGCTTTGAGTTTCTACCCAGACATCCCTTGCAGCAGGCAGAGAGAAAGTAGCTTTTCATAAGAGAATTAACTTTTTGCCCGCTAACTTCCTGCTATTAAGTTATTGTTTTGACAGGCATTAGCTCTAGTTTCATTGTTTGGTTGTTGTTGTTTTTGTCTGTTTGTTTCAGCCATAATGATTACAACTTTTTATCATCTAGCACTATAGCAGATAAAAGTTTTGTTTAATTCCCAGAAATACCTAAATATTCAAATATATTCTATATAATTAATTTAATTTATAGATAATAATATTTATTATTCTATTATATATATTTTATACATAATAGATATTTATATTATACATAACAGATATTTAATTATTATAATCTTTCTCATAATCTTTCTCATTCTCATTTGTCCACATGGTCAGGAGCAAAGACTCCAAGACAGTAGACACAGAAGAAGCCTAATTCTTTAGGTCATCTCGGGAAGATCACCTAGAAGTGATCCTAGGAGTCACCTAGAAGATTCTCTTTACTTGCACCATATATTGGGAAGGCAGGAGGTAAACTCTTAATATTTAGTATCTATTATATATTATGCATATATATTTAATGTATTATATCATTACTTAATATGTAGCTGGAAGAAATGGTTATTTTGAAGTACGGGCCTCTATAACTTACTACTAGAAAAAAATCAATGCAGGCATTGTTTCTGAAAAAGACAGTGGATCTCTGTATATTTATTCAAGGTTTCTCTTATTTTCCAAAGCAGCCTGGGATACTCTCAGAGATGAAAAAGGCCTTTAGGACTTAGAGTTTTGATGTATGTTTAACCTAGAGGCAAAACAAATCATGCTGGATTATTGTTTATTTCAGTTTACCTGTGGTTATAAATGGCCAAAAATTTATCAATGATAATGAGGAATAGTTTTTTAATTGTAACTTCCTTTACTCTATCTCCTCCTGATATGGACGAGAGGCAGGGAAATACTGGGTAGAAGAGGGCAGTTCCCCGGCAAAGGCCCCACCCACAAGCTTAGGCCCATGGCCCTAAATGAAAACTTTACATTCCTGTTAACCACCCGAATGTGGCTTTTTCCAAAACCATCCTTGCCTATCATGTCCCCCATCCTATGCTCATAAAATCCCAAACTCCATGGCCAAAGGAGCCAAGTGGTGCAGCAGAGAAGGAGGGAAGTGTCTGAATGTTGAAGAGGCCACAGGATGGTCAGAAGGCTGAAAGATTATCTGTCCACTCCATCCCCTTTCCAGCTCCCCATTCTGTTGAGAGCCACCTCCATCACTCAATAAATCCTCTGCATTCACCATCCTTCAAGTCAGTATGACTTGATTCCTCCTGGATGCCAGACAAGGACCCTGGTACCAAGAGGGCAGGGTGTGAAAACCTGTCACCCTAACTCTCCACTGTGCTGGTTAACACTTAGCCGTCTGTGGATGGCAACTTCTAAAAAAGCATTAATTGTAAAACACCCTTAGACACTACCATGAGGTTGGAGCCCAAAAGCATTCATCCAGGTCCCAGCAAACACTTGTCTGCATGCTCCCTGTCCTGCAAGGTGTTTAAGTAAGCCACACCCCTGTTCCAAGTCCCACAAAGGGGTCCGGGGAACTCTCCCGTCTCACTACCACAATGGCATGATTCATTTTTTGAAAAAATAACAGATATCTTATTTGTGTGGCCTTCAGTATTAGCTTACATGCCTGAGAGCTATTCATCAAATATGCACTTTTAGCTTAAGGTAGTATAATGCTATGTGATCATTAAGTCATTTTTTTTTTAATTCCTCTTCCTCTGTGGGCACATGGGAAGATGTTTGCCAGACCATGTGCATTTAGATGGGACCATATAATTAGCTCTGGGCAAGTAGTGTTAGTGGAAGAGATGTATATTGCTGGGTCCTCATGATCTTTCTCATTCTCATTTGTCCACATGGTCAGGAGCAAAGACTCCAAGTCAGTAGCCACAGATAGAAACCTAAATCTTTGGGTCACCTCAGAAAGATCACCTAAAAGTGAGCCTAGGAGTCACCTAGAAGATCCATATATTGTAAAGGCAGGAAGTAAACTCTTAACTGTATTAAGAAGCAGAGATTTCAGGTTTTACTTGTTACTTTAGCACAACCTATGCAGAATATATCACATTGATGACAATCATGGCTTTGATTTTACCAATTCCATAAAAGGGAATATACTTTTGCAGTCAGGTGGAACAAAGCATTGTCCAGAGTGTTTTCTAACATAGCTTGAAGTTTCAGAATTATTCTTAGAGCTATGTTTTGATATTTTATATTAATGAGCCAGATGATACAAATTTTTCTTGTGTGAATTATTAAAATTCTTAGTTGGATTATACTTGAGAAGTAAGGGGAGCTTCCTTTGATATTTGTGGCTGTATGTTGACCTCAAAGCTGTATTCCATAAAAGAAGGAAGAAAAGAAGTAGGGAAGAACAAAGACAGGGGTTACCATGATGAGAGCAGAGAAGAAGAAAACTTTTCTGGACACCTTTTTAACTCACAGTGCCAGAGGGGAGAAATCAGTCAATAACATTAGATCAACACTGAGATGATTGCAATGTGCCTTTTAATAATCCAACTTACAAGTACCTTTAAAAATATAGCAAACAAATATTAATTACTAAAATTTGTCATAGTATGATACACAAATAAAAATATTCAATATTGGATTATATTTTTATTTACTAAAAAGTTATTTAAGCATAGTTTCTTAAAATTTTTAAAGGATTCAGGCCGGGTGTGGTGGCTCAAGCCTGTAATCCCAGCACTTTGGGAGGCCAAGGCGGGTGGATCACGAGGTCAAGAGATGGAGACCATCCTGGTCAACATGGTGAAACCCCGTCTTTACTAAAAATACAAAAAATTAGCTGGGCATGGTGGCACGTGCCTGTAATCCCAGCTACTCAGGAGGCTGAAGCAGGAGAATTTCTTGAACCCAGGAGGCGGAGGTTGAGGTGAGCTGAGATCGCGCCATTGCACTCCAGCCTGGGTAACAAGAGCAAAACTGTCTCAAAAAATATATATATATTTTAAAGGATTCAATAACAAATAATCTTCAATATCACATATGGTGATATTAGGTAACACTTCTCCTTGATAAATTAATTATGATCTGAAATCTGGTAATGAGGGCAAACATATTAATTTGAATAAATCAATGCCTATTGCTTCTAAATTAATTTCCAAATCCCCTTCCCTGGCCTGTAGGGCCCTACATGATTGGCCCCTATTTCCCTCTAATCTTACCTTTGCTCTCTTTCCTTATTATGCTTCTGCCCTACACGCCTCCATTTTTATTCCTAATTCCTCTAAGTTCTGCTGCTCTTCAGGGTTGTAATTCTTATAAATTTTTGTCTGGTTCTAGAATCAAAGTTATGTAGGCCTCATAAAAATGGTTGTGAAATTTTCTGTTTTGGTTATCTAGAAGATTTTGTGTAATAATACTCTTATTTCTCTTTTCATACTTGAAAGATTATTCACCAGTTAAGCTGTATAGGAGTTTCTTTGTGAGAAAAACTTACAACAAATTGAGTTTCTTTAATAGATATCTACAATTCAAATTTTCTGTGGCTTTGTTGTCAATTTTGGAAAGTTGTGTATTTTTTAGAAATTTATTTCATTAGAATAATCAGACTTTTATCTTTCTCATGTCTTTAGAATCTGCAGTGAAGTAGCATTTTCATTTGTATTATTGATCATTTGTGTTCTCTTTCTCTTTCTGATTCTTAGCTTGGTACCATGGTGGTCTAAAGACAGGGAACATATTTTTATCTTGGGCATACGATGGCTAATATTATATGTCAATTTGACTGGGCCATGTGATACCTAGATACGTAGTCAAACATTATTCTTGGTGTTTCTCTGAGGGTGCTTTTGGATGGCCAGATTGCCCTCCCCAATGTGGTGGGTTGCATCCCAGCTGAAGCCCTGAATAGAACAAAAGGATGATCCTTCCTTGAGTAGAAGACAATTCTCCTGTCAGCCTTTGAACTGTAACATCAACTCTTCCTGATTCTGCAGCAGTTTCCAGCCTTGTACTTGAACTGGGACTTCAGCTTTACAGATTTTAGACTAGACAGCCTATATAATTGTGTGAGCCAATTCTTTGTAATGAATCTCTTTATATACATGTACTATCGGTTTTGTTTCTCTGGAGACCCATGACCAATACAGAGCATAAGAACAATGTTGTACTATGTGTACATAAAAAGAGTGTTAAATCTGTCATTGTTTGATGTAACATTCTATATGTGCCAATTAGGTAAGGTTTAATTATGTTTATATCTTCTGCATACTTACTTATAACCATTTTCTTTCTATCAGATCTTGCAAGAGGTGTGTTAAAGTCTCCATTGTTATATGAATTTATCTACTTTTTCTGTTTAATTATATTTTATCCATGTTTGAATTCATGCTATTGGATGCACATAGATTTAAAATTTTTATATGTTCTGGTTATATTAACCTCTTTGTGAAGTATCACTCTTTAGTAATGCTTTCTCCCTTAAAGACTGCTTTATCTGAATATTAGTATAGCGATATGAGTTTTCTTTTGATTAGTGTTTGTGGGAAATTATCTTTTTTACTGTTTTACTTATACTTTTTCTGTGGTTTTATATTTAACATTTATTTTCTGTATTATGTAAGTATTTTTAATTTAATCTTTGCATTTTCCTTGTGACACTCAGTCCATTTGTATTTGATATCATTACTGACAGAGTTAGGTCCATGTCTACAATTAGACAATGTGTTGTTGTTTTTTAATTTGACTAATATGTTTTGGGTTTTGTACTCTCTTGTCTTCACTTGTGCAAAGCAAATTTTTATTCTTCCATTTTTAGTCCACAATTGTTAGTTACACATTGTTTTACTATTCTGTTTATGTTTTATGCTCTAGGATTACAGCATGTATTCTTCATAAAATTGTCTAATACAAATTATCACTTCCATATTAATGCTAGAATCTTAGAAAACTTCAATTTCATATATCATTGCCCACTTTTTAAGTAATCATTGTCAATTTTACTTCTATATATGTGCAGAACATGTACTAGTATTATTTTATACAATCAACATTTATTTATATTTCTATATATGTGCAGATGATATTTCTATGTATGTAAAGAAGATATTAATTCTATATATGTGCAGAAGATATTACTAGTATTATTTATACAATCAACATTTATTTATATTTATCCACAGATTCATCCTTTCAGATACTCTTCATTCTCTTCCATGTTTTGCTGTTTCATTTTCTTTTGCCAAAAGGACCCCCCATTAATGATAGACAAGATAAAGAAAATGTGGCACATATACACCATGGAATACTATGCAGTCATAAAAAAGAATGAGATCATATCCTTTGCAATGACATAGATGAAGCTGGAAGACATCATTCTCAGCAAACTAACACAGAAACAGAAAACCAAACACCCCATGTTCTCATTCATAAGTGGGAGTTGAACAATGAGACAGGGAGGGGAACATCACACACCAGAGCCTCTCTGGGGGTGGGGGGCA